TATGACCATATGTGTGTCTATATACATGACCCGCCTCAAAACAAAAATGGTAAATCTCGAAGATATGATCATGGTGATTCGTGGATCCACTCTATCAGACAGACAGTCGTGTAGTTTGAAAAGAAAAACTTGTCCAGTTAAAAGTGATGTGCTTGAAAATAAAACATGGATTGATAATTACCTGGATGATACTTTCGTCCAAGGAGAAAATTGTTAATTGTTAGGAATGTGACCAAAGCGAAAACAACATGAATGTGGTCTTTTGAATGGAACCAAAAACTAAGTCATAAGAGAACTTATTCCAAATAATCAAATATCGTATAATTGTAAAAATGTAGAACATCCTTTTATGAGATGTAACTAGTTCCTTTTTCTAACTTATGGGGTACATATTACTTTTTATTAACCAATATAATTTCTCTTGGTACATTTTAATTTTCTCTTACAAATATCTTATTAACTACCCTTTAATATATACTTTCACTACACTACAAGAATTTGGTGCCTTCTTATTTCTTTTTGCTAGTATTTCTATATATACACTCAATTTTCTCACTAATTTTTTTTTGGATCTATATACTTTTTTACCACTTATTTCATCTTCTTTGTAATTGTAATTGTAATTGTTTTTATTTCATATATATTATCAATTTGATTGTTTTAAATCCCAATGATTTGCGAGTGCTATAAATATTTGCAAAGTAAAATTTAATCAATAATAAGCATTTTTGTCAGATTAAAATTACTTTGAGTTTTAAATCAAAAAATAAAAGCAATATTATATTAAACAAACTTTTTTTAATAGAAGTAATTTTAATCAAAACACAGTTTGTGCCAACCATCTCAAATACACTTTATAGCTTATACCTCAAAAGATAAAGTGGTCCCACATATTTTTTCTTTTTTTTTCAAACTTATGTCACAAAGCCAACTATTGGTGTATACATCTAAGACCATAGACTAAAATTTATATCCCTTAATTCTAGAATCAAAAGATAGCTAGCTAGCTTCTTCATGCCCCAACTCCAAATTCCTAGCAAAAATAGGGCTAAAATTTTTTACGAAAATTTCTTTTATAACGAGTAATGCTATAAAGAAGTCAAAAGTCAAAATTCATCCTCTATTAAGAATACTATTCAAATGCTTTGGGAATCTATATTTTTTTTAGATACATCAATTAAGAACAATGTGTCATATCACATTTAATCATTTTTTTCTGCAGACAACCGTATTTAAAAAAATTAATAAAATTTGAATGAAAATGTTAAGACTTCAATCCTCAAATTAAGAAAAACTTTATATTTAACTTATTAATAATTAAGAGAGAGAAAATGAGGGCAGTAAAAAAATGCATGAATGCATATTTGTGAAATCATGTTTATTATATTGAGTTAATAAAATATTAACGATACAAAGTTGATTAAGAATGAAATATTAGTCCATGGACTAAAATTATTTATTATGAATTAACTTTAAAAAAATCCTCAATATGAGAATAACTTAACAATTAAAAATTCTTGCTATGTTTATTGTATTAAAAATAAATTAACTATAAAGATAATTATTAGCTTTAAATTTAATTTTGTATCCTCAACTTTCAAATTTATCCAATTTTTTAGTACTTAAATTTTAGAAGATGGTTATTCCAGTTGTTAAACTTTCAATGGGTCTATTTTTAATCTGTGGGCTGATATTTTAGCCACCCTACAACTTAATATTGGATCACTCAATCTTCGTCGGGGTCAATCTACATGACTCTAGGGTATGTCCACGCATTTGCAACATTAATAACAATATACCAAAATAGGTATTATATAAGCGGATAAACCAAAATGAAATTTAAATTAATGTTTGATTGAGAGGAAAGAATACTCTTATATTTGTAAAGAAAAAGGTTAGAATGCCCTAAAAACTCCGACATTGCAGACAAGTTAGGTGTCAGAAATAAACTTTTTGTACAAAACACAAAGCAAAGGAAGTCCTACAGAGATTCGAGCTGCAAGGCCTCACTTTTATCCAAATTATGAAAACTTCCCAACCTTAATTTTCCTAGGTTTCACACCTCTGCAAATTATTGGCCCATTAACTTTTTATAATTTCAAAACCGCCCCAGCTCTACCATACCACACAGGGATGGGTTCTTTCTTATCCCCATCACGAGTTCCACAGTAGATTAACAATTATTAAACGCGCTTAGTTCTTGTTAATCATTAATTTCAGGAAAATGACATCCATGTCCACTAAGTACCCAACCCAAATTGATTAATCACACTTTTGAATCTTTGTGGGAAACAGGGACGACTCCGATTTGAGTCTAAGTTTGGTTCAATTTTACTGCCTAGGGTTGATTTGGGTCTCTTTGATTTCAGCTTTTAACATGTGATTTTGTTCCTAAATTGTATGTTATTCTCCAAGTTTTCATCTTTGATAGGTTAAATTTGTGTTTTACTCTTTTCTAAAGAAGCTGTTATATCAGGTACTACCGTAGTATTAATTGGTAGTTGGGGACTTGATTTTGATTCTTGGGATGAGTGGATGAACAGTACGCGGCTTTTTTAGGGAGGCGAGGTCGCAAATTCCATATTAGCACCAGAGATGAAGACCTGAAAGGACATCAATTCTGGCGGAAAAAATAGCCTACTTGAAAAAAAATATATAGGCTGGCCCTCTTGTATTTCAACTCCACTATACTACTCCGTCCGCAACCCAAAAAGTTGGCTTTGCCAACACAACATTAGGGTCGTCTCCGCCCGTCAACTCCAAAGAAATGCTTAGTTTATCTTGAATCCGAGAAAACAAGACTCTTAAAAACATCTCGTAAATAAATTATTCGATTAGAGGTGTAGTTTAAGGTTTCTTTTATGAAATTTATTAAATCTTGAGTTATACTCATGTTAGCAATATAATTATTAGTTATTAGTATATCGACATTTTAACGGGTTGAATAAGCTAGGTAGTGTAAATTGGATGTAATTTTTATGAGTGACAAGTCCAATTAACTATCAAGTAAATAAAATTTACGAGCTGCAGTAAAAGTTTTGATTGAGAGAGAAGATAAAACTGGAAAGAAATGAAACTGAAAAGGGCGGGAGACATGAATGATTTTATGATGAACAGTGGGATTCAATAAATGAATTGAATAATAATGTACAAGTATTCATGATGAAGATGCTGACACAGAGCTTAAAATTTCAGAACTCCAAATTGAAGAGTGTCGCTGTTATTACATAGCTTTTATCCTCATTTTAGAAATTGTTGGGAAAGGCAAAAAAGATACATACACATGAAAACCAACAAAAAACCCTACCCTCTACTCTCTCTCTCTCTCTTTTTTTTTTTGTTTTGTTTTGTATACAACTAAAAATAATATACATTAATTATAGTTTATATATGCTTTAAAATTTGACTAGGATTTGAAAATTTTAAACAGATAATTTGACTAAATAAAAGCTTTAAGTTTTGAAAACAAATAATAAATAAGAAGTTGATTTYATCAAATGGGTTATTTTTATTATTATTATTTTTTTCCATCGAATAGTAAGTTCTCTTTTAATAAAATTTGAGTCAGGTCTTACCTTTTTCGTCCATATGGGCATTTTTCATTTGTTTAAGTTAGAAATCAAATATTAAAAGAAAAAGGGGAAAAAGACAGAACATGTTATTGTTTTTTAATTAATTTACAAACCACATAAGTTATAATTTTTGACGTAAATGGAAGAAGGGATTCTGTTAATTAGTTTACATTATCTTCATAATTAACATCTAGTTGCGTAAATAAAAATTGATATTCTCTATCATTGGACCAAGAGAGAGATTGAGAGGAAAAGAAATATAAAACAAACACTAGATACTCATAACTATATTAGCGCACCATAAATAGTAGAAGGATTCCATTTTCGACAACAAATGGGCTTTTATATATATATCCTATTTAATTAAATCTAATCATAGTCCCTAAGATCCGAATAATCAAAGGGGGTAAATTAGATTGTTTACCCATGGTGAAAAATTTATATGGTAAATTCAACGATTTGAGAGTGAATAACTTTTTTTCGTTTTGGGTCAAACAGCAAGAGAAGAGCTTTGGCTTTAGATGATGCTTAATAAAGAAGGAAGATTAAGTAGGGGATTTTTTTATCAAGTTAATGTCAATGAACAGTATAATTCCCCTTTTGATTAGCAAAAAAA